AAATGGGGGAAAACAGCAAAAAATGGAGGGAGAACAGCAAAAAACGGGATTTGGTGTCCTTGGAATGGGATTTGGTGTTCTTGGAATGGGATTTGGTGTCCTTGGATGGGATTTGGGGTCCTTGGAATGGGATTTGGGGTCCTTGGAATGGGGCTGGGGCTCAAATATGGGGTGGGGATGTCCCAAAATGGGAGGAGAACGCCCCAAAATGGGCTGGGGTCTGTGGGAGTCCCTGAAATGGGGCTGGGGTCACCAAGAATGGGGTGGGAATATCCCAGAATGGGGCTGGGGGTCCCCAAAATGAACAAGGGAACCGATGGGGGGGTCCCAGGGGATCCATTGGGGATCAGCCCCCCCCCAAATCCCCCCCAGACCCTTTGGGACCCCCCGAGGATCCCCCCAGATCCCTCTGGGACCCTCCAAGCCCCCCCAAGGATCCCCTCAGAACCCCCTGGAACCTTCAGGACCCCCCAGATCCCCCCGGATCCCCCCGGATCCCCCGGGCTGACCTGGAAGAAGGAGCAGCTGGGCCGGGCTCCCTCGGGGGGGTCCCGCAGGTACGAGGCCGTCAGGGCCAGGCAGCGGCTGTCGACCTCCTTCCCAAGCGGGAGCGCGGAGACCTGGGCAGGGATCTGCTGGGATCTACTGGGATCTACTGGGATCCACACACAGCCCCCAGAGACCCCTGACACCCCCCTGGGATCCCCCCTCCTTCCCAAAGCGGAGCGCGGAGACCTGGGGCAGGGATCCACTGGGATCCATTGGGATCCACTGGGATCCACTCACAGCCCTGAGAGACCCCTGACACCCCCCGTGATCCCCCCTCCTTCCCAAAGCAGAGCGCGGAGACCTGGGCAGGGATCCACTGGGATCTGCTGGGATCCACACACAGCCCCCAGAGACCCCTGACACCCCCTGTGATTCCCCCTCCTTCCCAAAGCGGAGCGTGGAGACCTGGGGCAGGGATCCATTGGGATCCATTGGGATCCACTCACAGCCCTGAGAGACCCCGGCACCTCCCATGATCCCCCCTCCTTCCCGAAGCGGAGCGCGGAGACCTGGGCAGGGATCTGCTGGGATCCACTGGGATCTACTGGGATCCACCGGGATCCACACACAGCCCACAGAGACCCCTGACACCCCCCCATGATCCCCCCCTCCTTCCCGAAGCGGAGCGCAGAGACCTGGGGGAGGGATCCATTGGGATCCACCGGGATCCCTGTGACTCCCCTGCCACACCCAGCCCCCACAAAAGGCCCAGGTCCTTCCAGTTGCCCCGGATCCCCCCCAGATCCCTGGGATCCCCTGGGATCCTGCAATGCCCTGAGCCTCCTCCCCAGTCCCAGGCCCCCCAGATCCCCTGGGATCCCCCCGATCCCCGTTCTGGATCCCCGACCTCGGGGTGCACGCAGAGATTCTTGCGGGAGCTCAGCGCCAGTGCCAGGAAGGGCAGGGGCTCCCCCAGCTCCCGCTCGTAGCATTCCAGAAGCTTCCGCAGCTCCTCCACCACCTGCGGGGGAACGCGGGGACGTGAGGGGAGAGGAGGGGATCCACCCTGAGGGATCCACCCGAGGGATCCACCCGAGGGATCCAGCCCAGGGATCCCCTCCCCGCTGACCTTCTCGATCTCGGGCACCGTGCGGGAGCAGTAAATCAGCTTGGACACGTCCAGGGGGTGGGCCTGGGGGGGGAAGAAAGGATCTGCTGGGATCCACTGGGATCTGCTGGGATCCCAGAACCCACCAGGACATGCTGGGATCACCCAGGATCCGCTGGGACCCATTGGGATCCGCCAGGACCTGCCAGAACTCCCTGGGACCACCCAGGATCCTCAGGGACCCACCAGGACCCTCTGGGATCTACCAGGACCCCACCCCACCCCCAACCACTCAAGCTCCCCCCAGATCCCCCGGGATCCACTCGAATCCCCCCCCTCCCCCTCCCCAACCCAAGGGGATCCTCCAGGAGCCTCTGGGATCCACCAGGAGCAGTCAGAAGCCCCCAGACCCCTCAGGATCCCCCCGGATCCCGCGGGATCGGCTCACGCGCTGGTAGGCGATGATCAGGGCCAGCAGTGACACCGTCTTGCCCGTCCCTGACGGCATCTCCAGAACCCCGTGGCCCTGGGGGGGAAGGGGCAGTCACAGGGGGGGCCCGGATCCCTCGGTGGATCCCTCCCGGTGGATCCCTCCCGGTGGATCCCTCCCAGTGGATCCCTCCCAGTGCGTTTCCCCCAGTGGATCCCTCCGGTGGATCCCCCCCCCCCGTTGTCCATCTGTCCCTGTCCCCCATCTCCCACCCCAAGTGGATCCCTCCAGTGGATTCCCTCAGAGGATCCCCAATGGATCCCTCCCAATCGGATTCCCCGGCTGATCCCCCTCGGTGGATCCTCCTTTGGTGGATCCCTCCCTTGGATCCCTCATTGATCCCACCCATTGGATCCCCTCAGTGGATTTTTTCTCCATTGGATTCCCACAGTTGCTCCCTCGTTGGATCCATCCCAGTGGACCCCCCCAGTGGATCCCCCCCCCCAGTGGATTCCCCCCAGTGGATCCCACCTTGGCGTCCAGGGTGCGTTTGAGCTCCAGCATGTAGGAGAACTGCTCGGGGTAGATGAACTCATAGGGGAACAGCACCAGGAGCCCGTCCACGTTCAGCCTGAGGGGATCCCAGGGGATCCAGTGGCACCGGGTGGATCCCGAGGGATTCTGGGGGCAGTTTCGAGGGGATCCGGGGGGAATCGGGGGAGATTTGGGGGTCTGGGGGGTTGGGACAGCACCAGGAGCCCGTGCACGTTCAGCCTGAGGGGATCCTGGGAATGGATCTCACCAAAATCCCCTCAAAATCCCCTCGGATCCTCCCAAATTCTCTCAAAACTCCCCAAAATCCCCTCAGATCCCTCCAAAATTACCTCAGAGCCCCCAAAAGCCCCCAAATTCCCCTCAGATCTCCGAAAACTCCCCAAAATTCGGTCAAATCTGCCCAAAAGACCACAAAATTCCCTCAGACCCTCCAAAATTCCCTTTAGAGCCCCCCAAAATTCCCCAAATTGCTCCAAATCCCCCCAAATTCCCCTCAGATCCTCCAAAACTCCTCCAAATCCCCCCAAATCCCCTCAGATCCTCCAAAATTCCCACAATTTCCCCCCAAATTCCCCAAAATCCCCCAACCCCCCCCTCAGCGCCCCCCTTTTCCCACCCCTCCCCCCCCTCACTTCATGGCTCCCGCCGCCGCCTCGCGCCGCCGCCTCGGCCCCGCCCCCTTCCGCACCGCGCGCTCCGATTGGGCACGGCTGAGCCCGCCTCGCGCTCCTATTGGCTGAATGAAGCTGCCAATCACAAGGAGAGAGCAGCTGTGCCGGGGAGGCGCAATCGAGCGCAGAGCGATGGATCGGAGGACAGAGCGATGGATCGGAGGACACTTGGGGGGAGAAAGGAGAAAAATTTGGGATTTTTGGGGGATTTTGGAGGTTTTTGGGGACATTTGAGCCACGGGAGTGAAAACCTTGGAGGGATTTAGGGACACTGCGGGGCAAGACTGAAAAAATGTTGGGGATTTTTGGAATTTTGGGGGATTTTTTTTTATTTTTTGGGATTTTTTGGAGGATTTTTGGGGATATTTTGCGGGGAGGGGTGACAAAAATTTGAAGATTTTGGGGACATTTGGGGACATTGGGGGGGATGGCAAAAATCTCGGTTTTTTTTTTATTTTGGGGATTTTGGGGAACATTTGGGGGCGTCACAGATTTGGAGGGTGTCAAAACTTAAAAAAAAAAAAGCGAAAAAGAACAAAAAAAATTTCAAATTTTATTTCATTTTTTTCGCTGCTCCTCCCCCCCCCCACCCCTGCGCCTCCCCCATCCTCCCGCCCCTCCCCCCCTCCCGCGGTTTTCCCGTGAATTCCGCCAGATTTGGGCAATTCCAGAGAAAAAAACAAAACCACAAAAACAACAACAAAAATCGCAATTTCTGCCCCTCCCCCAGCCCCAAAATGAGGGGGGGGAGGGGCTCAGAGGCAACGCTGGTGGGGGAGGGGCCCCGGAACTGGGAGGGACTGGGGGGAACTGGGATGGACTGGGAGGGACTGGGACAAAATGGGAGGGACCGGTTTGAACTGGGACAAACTGGGATTGAACCGGACTGGGATGAACTGGGAGGGACTGGGAGGGACTGGGATGGGATACTGTGATGAGAAGGGATCGGATACTGGTTTGAACTGGTTTGAACTGGTTTGAACTGGTTTGAACTGGGAGCTCCGGGGGCGTCAAGGCCACGTCGAGGTTTTTTCAAAAAACGTCCAAAAACGGCACCAAAATCCCCCAAAAACACCTGGGGGAGGGGGCGGGGCCAGAGCACCTGGGGCGGGGCCAGAACACCTGGGGGTGGGGCCATAGAGCCTGGGGGGCGGGACCATATGACACAGGGGAGGGGCCAGAGTGCCTGGGGGTGGGGGCAGAGCACTTGGGGGAGGAGCCAGAGCTCTGGGGGTGGGGCCATATGACAAAGGGGAGGGGCCAGAGCGCCTGGGGGAGGAGCCAGAGCAGCTGGCGGACAGTGGGGGAAGGCGCACAGGTGAGCCCAGGTGTGCCCAGGTGGGTTTGCCCAGGTGTCCCCAGGTGTCCCCAGGTGTGTCCCAGGTGTCCCAGGTGTGTCCCAGGTGTCCCCAGGTGTGTCCCCAGGTGTGTCCCAGGTGTCTCCCCAGGTGTGTCCCAGGTGTCCCAGGTGTCCCCAGGTGTGTCCCCAGGTGTGTCCCAGGTGTGTCCCAGGTGTGTCCCAAGTGTCTCCCCAGGTGTCTCCCCAGGTGTGTCCCAGGTGTGTCCCCAGGTGTCCCCAGGTGTGTTGCAGGTGTCCCCAGGTGTGTCCCAGGTGTCCGAGGTGTGTCCCAGGTGTCACTCGCGGATGCTGGCCGAGTAGGAGAACTGCGGGAAATGCGTCCGGTGATCGCTCTCCGGAGAGTCCAGGAGCTCACCTGGGGACAGGCGGGGACAGGTGAGGGACAGGGACAGGTGAGGGAAGAGATGACAGGACAGGTAAACACAGGTAAGGTACAGGTGAGGACACAGGTTAGGACACAGGTAAGGTACAGGTGAGGACACAGGTGAGCCCAGGTGCACTCACATCTCTCGGGGGGCGTGACCGTGATGGACAGGGACAGGTAAGGTACAGATGAGGACACAGGTGAGGACACAGGTGAGGACACAGGTGAGGACACAGGTGAGCCCAGGTAAGGCCCAGGTGAGCCCAGGTGCACTCACATCTCTCGGGGGGCGTGACCGTGATGGAAAGGGGGGGGTCAGGGACAGGTGAGGACACAGGTAAGGACACAGGTAAGGTACAGGTGCACTCACATCTCTCGGGGGGTGTGACCATGACAGGGACAGGTAAGGACACAGGTAAGGTACAGGTAAAGCCCAGGTGAGCCCAGGTGCACTCACATCTCTCGGGGGGGCGTGACCATGACAGGGACAGGTAAGGACACAGGTAAGGTACAGGTGAGCACAGGTAAGGCCCAGGTAAGGTACAGGTGCACTCACATCTCTCGGGGGGTGTGACCGTGATGGACGGGGACAGGTAAGGACACAGGTAAGGACAGGTAAGGTACAGGTAAGGCCCAGGTGAGCCCAGGTGCACTCACATCTCTCGGGGGGCGTGACCGTGATGGAAAGGGGGGATCAGGGACAGGTAAGGACACAGGTAAGGACAGGTAAGGACACAGGTAAGGACACAGGTAAGGCCCAGGTGAGCCCAGGTGCACTCACATCTCTCGGGGGGCGTGACCATGATGGAAAGGGGGGGTCAGGGACAGGTAAGGACACAGGTAAGGACACAGGTAAGGCCCAGGTGAGCCCAGGTGCACTCACATCTCTCGGGGGGGCGTGACCGTGATGCTCTGCGCCGTGAACTCCTCGTCGAAGTACCTGGTGTCCACCTCTGACGTCACCTGCGGCCGGAAGGGCGGCACCAGCTGGGGGGGGCGGGGCCTCGCGCCAGGTGAGGGCCGGGGTCACGCCCGGGCGGGGCGGGGCCGGGGGCGGGGCCTCACCTTCCTCTGCACCACGTCCAGCCAATCGATGCCCGCGAAGAAGCGATGCTCCATCACCTCGCGGGCGTCGCCCGGGCCCCCGCCCAGCCTGCACAGGTGGGGACAGGTGAGGGCACAGGTGAGGGCACAGGTGAGGGCACAGGTGGGTACAGGTGGGCACAGGTGAGGGCACAGGTGGGTACAGGTGGGGACAGGTGAGGGCACAGGTGGGTACAGGTGAGAATAGGTGAGAACAGGTGAGCACAGGTGACAATGGGTGAGGGCACAGGTGGGCACAGGTGGGTACAGGTGAGAACAGGTGGGCCCAGGTGTACCCCAGGTGTACCCAGGTGTACCCAGGTGTACCCCAGGTGCGTGTGGGTACCCCAGGTGTACCCAGGTGTACCCAGGTGTACCCCAGGTGTATCTCAGGTGTATCCCAGGTGTACCCAGGTGTATCCCAGGTGTACCCAGGTGTACCCAGGTGTATCTCAGGTGTACCCAGGTGTGTCTCACCTCTGTTTGGGATCCTTTTTGAGCAGCCCGGCCAGCAGGGAGCGGCTCTCGGGGCCCAGGCTCCTGGGGAAGCGCAGGTACCCGTGTGTGTGGGTACCCCAGGTGTGTCCCAGGTGTGTGTGGGTACCCCAGGTGTATCTCAGGTGTACCCAGGTGTACCCAGGTGTGTCTCACCTCTGTTTCGGATCCTTTTTGAGCAGCCCGGCCAGCAGGGAGCGGCTCTCGGGCCCCAGGGACTGCAGGACCTCAATGTGCCAGGTGTGTGTGGGTACCCCAGGTGTGTGTGGGTACCCCAGCTGTGTGTGGGTACCCCAGGTGTATCTCAGGTGTATCCAGGTGTATCTCAGGTGTATCTCAGGTGTACCCAGGTGTGTCTCACCTCTGTTTGGGGTCCTTTTTGAGCAGCCCGGCCAGCAGGGAGCGGCTCTCGGGGCCCAGGCTCCTGGGGAAGCGCAGGTACCCGTGTGTGTGGGTACCCCAGGTGTGTTCCAGGTGTGTGTGGGTACCCCAGGTGTGTGTGGGTACCCCAGGTGTATCTCAGATGTACCCCAGGTGTACCCAGGTGTATCTCAGGTGTATCTCAGGTGTACCCAGGTGTATCTCAGGTGTATCCCAGGTGCACCCAGGTGTGTCTCACCTCTGTTTGGGATCCTTTTTGAGCAGCCCGGCCAGCAGGGAGCGGCTCTCGGGGCCCAGGCTCCTGGGGAAGCGCAGCTCCTCCAGCAGGATCAGCTCGAAGAGGCGCTCGTGGTCCTGGTTGTAGAAGGGGAGGCGCCCGCAGAGCATCTCGTACATCACCACCCCCAGCCCCCACCAGTCCACAGCGCGGCCGTAGTCGTTGTCTTCCAGGACCTGAGGGGAGAGAGAACGGGGTCACCTGCAGGACCTAAAGGGGTAAAGTCATGGGGTGTCATCTTCCAGGACCTGAGGGGAGAGGGAACGGGGTCACCTGCAGGACCTGAGGGGGTAAAGGTGAGGGCTGGGACCTGCCAGGACCTGAGGGGGTAAAGGTGAGGGCTGGGACCTGCCAGGACCTGTGGGGAGAGGGGGAACGGGGTCACCTGGAGGACCTGAGGGGAGAGGGGGAACGGGGTCACCTGCCAGGACCTAAAGGGGTAAAGTCATGGGGTGTCATCTTCCAGGACCTGTGGGGAGAGGGAACGGGGTCACCTGCAGGACCTAAAGGGGTAAAGGTGTGGGGGTCACCTGCAGGACCTGAGGGGGTAAAGGTGTGGGGGTCACCTGCCAGGACCTGTGGGGAGAGGGGGAATGGGGTCACCTGCAGGACCTGTGGGGAGAGCAAATGGGGTCACCTGCCAGGACCTAAAGGGGTAAAGGTGGGGGGGTGTGACCTGCCAGGACCTGTGGGGAGAGAGGGAATGGGGTCACCTGCAGGACCTGAGGGTGTAAAGGTGAGGGGGAACGGGGTCACCTGCCAGGACCTGTGGGGAGAGCGAACGGGGTCACCTGCCAGGGACAGGGGACAAAGTCATGGGTGTGACCTGCCAGGACCTGAGGGGAGAGCGAACGGGGTCACCTGCAGGACTTGAGGGGGTAAAGGTGTGGGGGTCACCTGCCAGGACCTGAGGGGAGAGGGAGAATGGGGTCACCTGCAGGACCTAAAGGGCTAAAGGTGAGGGGGTCACCTGCCAGGACCTGTGGGGAGAGGGAACGGGGTCACCTGCAGGACCTGAGGGGGTAAAGGTGTGGGGGTCACCTGCCAGGACCTGTGGGGAGAGCGAACGGGGTCACCTGCCAGGACCTGCAGGGACAAAGTCATGGGTGTGACCTGCCAGGACCTAAAGGGGGAAAAGTAATGAGGAAGCCCCTCAGGATTTGGGGGAAATTTGGGGTTTTCGGGGGAATTCTCTGGGAATCTTGGGGGAATTTTCAGGGATTTTCAGGGATTTTTTTGGGGGGAAATTTGGGATTTTTTTTTTGGGAATTTTGGGATTTTTTGGGGGGAATTTTGGGATTTTTTGGGGGGAATTTTTGGGAATTCCCAGCCTCACCTCGGGCGCCAGGTACTCGGGGGTGCCACAGAAGGTCCTTGCAGGATTTGGGGGGAATTCTCTGGGGATTTTTGGATTTTTTCAGGAATTTTGGGATTTTTTTCTGGAATTTTGTGATTTTTTTCTGGAATTTTGGGGATTTTTTGGGGGAATTTAGGGAATTCCCAGCCTCACCTCGGGCGCCAGGTACTCGGGGGTGCCACAGAAGGTTCTCATGGTGGTGCCGTCCGTCACCCCCTCCTTGCAGAGCCCGAAATCCGTGATCTTGATGTGCCCGTCCTTGTCCAGCATCAGATTCTCCAGCTGGGAATTCAGGAATTTGCACCAAAATCCCACAAAATCAGCCCCAAAATCCCACAAAATCAGCCCCAAAATCCCACAAAATCAGCCCCAAAATCCCAAGAATCATCCCCGAAATTGGCCCCAAAACCTCACAAAATCAGCCCCAAAATCCTGGAAATTCAGCCCCAAGATCCCAGGAATTCAGCCCCAAAATCCCAGGAATGGTCCCCAAAATCCTGGGAATTCGACCCCAAAATCAGCCCCAAAATCTCACAAAATCAGCCCCAAAATGCCAGAAATTCAGCCCAAAACCCCAGGAACTGGCTCCAAACCCCAGGAATTCAGCCCCAAAATCCCGGAAATTCAGCCCAAAACCCCAGGAATTGGCTCCAAACCCCAGGAATTCAGCCCCAAAATGCTGGAAATTCAGCCCAAACCCCCACAAAATTTGCTCCAAATCCCAGGAATTCAACCCCAAAATCCCGGAAATTCAGCCCAAAACCCCAGGAATTGGCTCCAAACCCCGGGAATTCAGCCCCAAAATCCCAGAAATTCAGCCCAAATCTCACAAAATCAGCCCCAAAATCCCGGAAATTCAGCCCAAAACCCCAGAACTGGCTCCAAACCCCAGGAATTGGCTCCAAACCCCGGGCATTCAGCCCCAAAATCAGCCCCAAAATACCAGGAATTCAGCCCAAAACCCCAGGAACCGGCTCCAAACCCCGGGAATTCAGCCCCAGCTCCCCCAGGACGCCCCCAAACGCCCAGAATTTCCCCAAACCCGCAGGAATCGGGCCCAGATCAGGACCTTGATGTCGCGATAGACGACGTCCCGCGAGTGCAGGTACTCCAGGGCCGAGACGATCTCGGCGCCGTAGAAGCGAGCGCGGGGCTCGGGGAACACCCGCTCCCGGGACAGGTGGAAAAACAGCTGGAGATTTGGGGGGAAAAGCACAGAAATTGGGAAAAATCGGGGGGAAGAGAAGGGAAATTCAGGGGGGAAATAAAACGGAAATTAAGGGGGGAAATCGGGAAAAATAGGGGGGAAGAGAAGGGAAATTCAGGGGGGAAATTGGGGAAATAAAAGGGAAATTGAGGGGGGAAATGGGGGAAAATATTGGGGGGAAGAGAAGGGAAATTCAGGGGGGAAATTGGGGAAATAAAAGGGAAATTGAGGGGGGAAATGGGGGAAAATATTGGGGGGAAGAGAAGGGAAATTCAGGGGGGAAATTGGGGAAATAAAAGGGAAATTGAGGGGGGAAATGGGGGAAAATACTGGGGGGAAAAAGCAGGGAAATCGGGAAAAATCGGGGGGAAGAGAAGGGAAATTCAGGGGGGAAATGGGGGAAATAAAAGGGAAATTGAGGGGGAAAATGGGGGGAAATAAAATGGAAATTGAGGGGGGAAATTGGGGAAAATATTGGGGGAAAAATTGGGGGGAAAATGGGGGGGAACCAGGAAATTGGGAAAAAATCGGGGGAAATAAAATGGAAATGGAGAGGGGAAATTGGGGTGAAATTGGGGAAAGTTGGGGGCAAATAAAATGAAAATTGGGGGAGAAAATTGGGGAGAATTGGGGGCAAATGAAACGGAAATTGAGGGAGAAAATTGGGGGAAAAAACGGGGAATTGGGAAAATATCGGGGGGAATAAAATGAAAATTGGGGGGTAAAATTGGGGTGAAATAAAATGAAAATTGGGGGAGAAAATTTGGGGAAAATTTGGGGGAAAAACGGGGAAATTGGGGAAATATCGGTGGGGAAATTGGAGGGAAAATTGGGGAAAATTGGGGGAAGAATTGGGGGAAAATAGGGAAAAATTGGGGAGAAAATGGGGAAAAATTGGGGGGAAATTTGGGGAAAACTTGAGGGAAAATACCTGGGAAAATGGGTGGGGGGAAATTTGGGGGTAAAATTGGGGAAAAAAAGTGAGGGAAAATGGGGAGAAATTGGGGAAAAACGGGAAAAAATTGGGGAAAAACTCGGGGAAAATGGGGGTAGGACGGATAAACCCCCCCAGCCCCAGGGAAAACTGAAATTTTGGGGTAAAAAAGGCCGAGTTTGGGGGCAGAGCCGGCACCTCGCCGCCGTTGGCGTATTCCATGACAAAGCAGAGGCGGTCGCTGGTCTGGAAGGCGTATTTGAGAGCCTGGGGAAAAACAACGGGAATTTGGGAAAAATCCCCAAAATTCGGGGGTTTGGGAGGAATTCTGGAAATTGGGGGATTGGAGGAGGGAATTGCTGGAAATTCGGGATTGAATTCCTGGAAATTCGGGGATTTTAGGGAGGGAATTGCTGGAAATTCGGGATTTAGTTGCTGGAAATTGGGGATTTAATTCCCAGAAATTTGGGATTTAATTCCCAGAATTTCAGGATTTTGGGGAGGAATTCCCAAAATTTCAGGATTTTGGGGAATATTCCTGGAAATTGGGGATTTAATTCCCGGAATTTCAGGATTTTGGCCCAGGATTTTAGGATTTTGGGCAGGGATTCCCGGAATTTCAGGATTTTGGTCAGGAACTCCCAGAATTTCAGGATTTTGGCCCAGAATTTCATTATTTTGGGCAGGAATTCCCGGACTTTCAGGATGTTGGGCAGGAATTCCCATTATTTGGTTATTTTGGGCAGGAATTCCCAGAATTTCGTTATTTTGGCCCGGGATTCCCAGAATTTCGTTATTTTGGGGAGGAATTCCCGGAATTCCCGGATTTTGGCCAGGAACTCCCAGAATTTGGAGATTTTGGGCAGGAATTCCCAGAAATTCAGGATTTGGGTCAGGGATTCCCAGAATCTGGCAATTTTGGCCCGGAATTCCCAGAATTTCAGGATTTTGGGGAGGAACTCCCAGAAATTCAGGATTTTAGTCAGGAACTCCCGGAATTCCAGGATTTTGGCCCAGAATTTGGGGATTTTGGCCAGGAATTCCCGGAATGTGGAGATTTTGTCCCAGAATTTCAGGATGTTGGCCAGGAACTCCCAGAATTTCAGGATTTTGGGCAGGGATTCCCGTAATTCCCGGATTTTGGCCCGGGGTTCCCAGAATTTCAGGATTTTGTCCCAGAATTTCAGGATTTTGTCCCAGAATTTGAGGATTTTGGCCCGGATTTCCCAGAATTTCAGGATTTTGTCCCAGAATTTCAGGATTTTGTCCCAGAATTTCAGGATTTTGGCCCGGAATTCTCAGAATTTGGTTATTTTGGGCAGGAACTCCCGGAATTTGGGGATTTTGTCCCAGAATTTCAGGATTTTGGGCAGGGATTCCCGTAATTCCCGGATTTTGGCCCGGGGTTCCCAGGATTTCAGGATTTTGTCCCAGAATTTCAGGATTTTGGCCCAGAATTCCCGGGCCCCACGCACGGTCAGGAAGGGGTGGCGGCTGCTCTGCAGGACGCGGCTCTCGGTCACCGTGTGAGCCACCTCGTCCTGTGGAGGGGGCAGACGCTCAGGTGCCGCCCAAACTCACCCAAAAACGCCATTTCTCACCCCAGAATACCCCAAAACCGCCCCTTTCCGTTCCAAAGCGTCCCAAAAATGCTGGGTTTCGCCCCAGAATATCCCAAAAAGGCCGTTTTTTTCACCTCTGAACGTCCCACAAAATCTCGTTTTTCATCCCAAAGCGCCCCAGAAATGCCCTTCTCCCCTTCCCCCCAAACTGCCCCAAATCACACCCCAAAATCCCCTTTTTCTTCCCCAAAATCCCCTTCTTCTTCCCCAAAATCCCCTTCTTCTTCCCCAAAATCCCCTTTTTCTTCCCCAAAATCCCCTTTTTCTCCTCCAAACCCTCATTTTCTGCCCTGAATTTCACCTTGGCAACCTCCCCAGATCCCCATTTTTACCTCCCACACCCCCATTTTTACCTCCCAAAACCCCCATTTTTACCTCTCCCAAACCCCCATTTTTTTCCCCCAAAACCCCCATTTTTACCTCCCCAAAACCCCCATTTTTTCCCCCAAATCCCATTTTTCCCTCCCAAACCCCGACCATGATGACCTCCCCAAAACCCCCATTTTTCCCCCAAAACCCCAATTTTTTCCCTCCCAAACCCCCATTTTTACCTCCCCAAAACCCCCATTTTCTTCCCCCCAAACCCCCATTTTTTTGCCCCAAACCTCAACAATGATGACCTCCCCAAAACCCCCATTTTTCCCCCCAAACCCCCATTTTTCCCTCCCCAAACCCCCATTTTCCCCCCAAACCCCGACCACCATGCCCTCCCCAAAACCGCCCTTTATTTCCCCATAAATTCCCCTTTCCCACCCCCCAAACGCTGATTTCTGCCCCCAAAGCGCCCGGATCCGACTCCAATAATCCCCATTTCCCCCCCAGGCCCCGTTTTTGCCCGAAATCCCCGTTTTTCAGCCCAGACCTTGGCGATGATGACCTCCTTGCGCAGGATCTTCATGGCGTAGTAGCGCCCCGAGGCCTTTTCACGCACCAGGATCACCTTCCCAAAGGTGCCCTTGCCCAGCAGCTTCAGGTAATCAAAGTCTGCCATGCTCTGATGGGGCAAAAATAACAGAGTTTGGGGCTTTGGGGAGTGGGGATTTTGGGGGATTTTATGGGAATTTTTTGGGAATTTTTGGTGATTTTTTTAGGGTTTATTTGGGATTTTTTGAGGTTTTTTTGGGATTTTTTGGGGATTTTTTGGGTTGGTTTTGGGGGGATATTTCAGGGATATTTTGGAGATATTTTGGGGGATATTTAGGGTGGTTTTTAGTGGGATTTTTTGGCATATTTTGGGGTTATCTCAGGGCTATTTTGGGTCTATTTAGGGTGGGTTTTGGGGGATATTTTGGGGCTATTTTGGGTGGGTTTTGGGAAATATGTCAAGGATATTTTGGGCATATTTTGGGTGGTTTTCGGTGGGATTTTTTGGCATGTTTTGGGGCTATTTTGGGTGGTTTTCAGTGGGATTTTTTGGCATATTTTGGGGCTATTTTGGGTCTATTTAGGGTGGTTTTTGGGGGATATTTCAGGGAAATTATGGGTGGTCTTTGGAGGATATTTCAGGGATATTTTGGGGATATTTTGGGGCTATTTAGGGTGGGGTTTGGGGGATATTTCAGGGATATTTCAAGGATATTTCGGGGATATTTTGGGTGTTTTTGGTGGGATTTTTTGGCATGTTTTGGGGCTATTTTGGGGCACACTCACGGCCTTGCTGCGGGCCTTCCCGGCGGCCTCTCCGTCCTCTCCATCCCCGGGGGCTCCCCCGAGCTCGGGCGGCTCCGGGGCCGGCGCGCGGCTCTTGAGCCCCGAGGCCACGGCCTGGATGGCCCTGAGCCACTGCTCCCTGCAAAAGGGATCCAGTGGATCACAAACAGGGATCACACACAGGGATCCACGGCCCTGAGCCACTGCTCCCTGCAAAAGGGATCCAGTGGATCGCAAACAGGGATCACAAACAGGGATCCACAGCCTGGATGGCCCTGAGCCACTGCTCCCTGCAAAAGGGATCCAGTGGATCACAAACAAACAGGGATCACAAACAGGGATCCACTCATCACTGGGGCAAAGGGATCGAATGGATCGCAAACGGGGAGCCCAAATGGGGACCCCAAACTGGGACCTCTCTCCAAAGGGCTTTGGGGTCTCTCTCCCAGAGAGATTTAGGATCCCTCCCATGGGATTTGGGGTCCATCCCAAGGGATTTAGGATCCCCCCAGCAGGATCGGGGTCCATCCCAGCAGGATTTGGGGTCCATCCCAGCAGGATTTAGGATCCCCCCAGCAGGATTTGGGGTCCATCCCAGCGGGATTTAGAATCCCCCCAGCAGGATCGGGGTCTCTCCCAGAGGAATTTGGGGTCCATCCCAAGGGATTTAGGATCCCCCCAGCAGGATTTGGGCTCTGTCCCAGCAGGATTTAGGATCCCCCCCAGCAGGATTTGGGGTCTATCCCAGCGGGATTTAGGATCCCCCCAGCAGGATTTGGGGTCCATCCCAAGGGATTTAGGATCCCCCCCAGCAGGATTTGGGGTCTATCCCAGCAGGATTTAGGATCCCCCCCAGCGGGATTTAGGATCCCCCCAGCAGGATTTGGGGTCCATCCCAGCAGGATTTAGGATCCCCCCAGCAGGATTTGGGGTCCATCCCAAGGGATTTAGGATCCCCCCCAGCAGGATTTGGGGTCCATCCCAGCAGGATTTAGGATCCCCCCAGCAGGATTTGGGGTCCCCAGCCGCACCCACCGCTCCTCGGCCGTGTCCACGTGGAAAGTCCTCTCGATGACCGTTGTCCACTGCAGGCAGCGGATGACGAAGGTGTTGGGGCGCGGCCGCTCCGTCCTCATCAGCTGGCACTCTGAGAAACGGGGCGAGAAACGGCGAAATCGGGCAAAACCCGGGCAAAGGGAGGGTGGGAGGGTTTGGGGTACGACCCCCGGCCCGCTCTGAGCCCCTACCGGCCACGGAGAAGTTGTTGAGGGGGGGGAGGCCGTGCTCGGGGCTCTCGGGCCGCTCCTTGTAGCCGATGAAGGAACCGTCGCTCTTGAGCAGGAAATAACGGGGCCGCCACGTCTTGATGTACTCACCTGGCGCGGCGGGGAAAGGGTTAACGGGGGGAACTGGGGGGGAAAGGGTTAACGGGAGTGGGGGGATGGGGGTGAAAGGGTTAATGGGAGTGAGGGGGGATCAGGGGGTGAAAGGGTTAATGGGGAGTGGGGGGGGATCAGGGGGTGAAAGGGTTAACGGGGGTGGGTGGGGGGAGAATGGAAATGGGGCAAATCTCCCATGCTACAGCCACGATCCCAAATCCCCAAAATCCCCAACCCTGACCCCAATCCCCAATCCCCCAAATCCCAAACTCTGAACCCAATCCCAAATCCCCCATCCCAATCCCCAATCCCAAATCCCTCAAATCCCCCAAATCTCCCATCCCATCCCGATCCCCATCCCAATCCCAAATCCCAAATCCTAATCTCAAATCCCCCAGGCCCCGCCCCCAAAGCCAAGTCCTGCCCCCAGAGCCCAGGCCCCGCCCCCAGAGCCCAGGCCCCGCCCCCAGAGCGCAACCCCCGCCCCCAGGGCCCAGGCCCCGCCCCCAGGGCCCAGGCCCCGCCCCCGGCTCACCCCTCTTGTGCAGCCAGCCCTCCTTGACCACCAGCGCCTCACTCATGGTGGCCCCGCCCCCCCCGGGGACCCCCGGGGCACCCCCGGGACCCTGCGGGGCCGGGAGCACCTGTGGGATCAATAACGGATCAATAACGGGATCGATAACAGATTGATAATGGGATCGATAATGGATCGATAACGGATCGATAACGGATCAATAACGGGATCGATAACAGATTGATAATGGGATCGATAGTGGGATCGATAACGGATCAATAACAGGATCGATAACGGATCAATAATGGGATTGATAATGGATCAATGGGATTGATAATGGAATCGATAATGGGGTCAATAATGGATCGATAACAGGTCAATAACAGATCAATAATGGGATCGATAACGGGATCGATAGTGGGATCGATAACAGGGTAAATGGCATTAATAGTGGGATCGATAACGCATCAATCGGATTGATAATGGATCAATAATGGATCAATAGGATCGATAATGGATCAATGGGATCAAAAACGGGATCGATAAGGGATCAATGGCATCGATAATGAGATCGATAATGGGATCAATAATGGGATCGATAAGGGGATCAGAGATGGGATCAACGGGATCAGTAATGAGATCATTGACGGGATCATGGGATCAATAGTGGGATCGATAATGGGTTTGGGATGGATCTGTGGGATTTTGGGATCTGTGAGGGTTTGGCACCAATCCATGGAATTTTGGCACCAATCCATGGGATTTCAGGACCAGTCCATGGAATTTTGGGATTTTGGGCCCAATCTATGGGATTTTTGACATGAATCCATGGGATTTTGGGCCCAACCCATGGGATTTTTGACATGAATCCATGGGATTTTGGGCCCAGTCCATGGGATTTTGGGACAGGACAAGGACAGGGGAGATGCGGGGCTCATTCCCCCCTCGTTAGCGACCCCAATTAAACGGGGACCCAGCCCCTGCCCCGTACCCGAGCGCCGGATCCGGATCCGAGGGCAGCTCCCGGCGCCGGCTCCTCCTGGGGCCAAAAAATGGGGAGAAAACGGCCAAAATTGGGGTTGGGGGGAAGGAAAAGGGAAATTTGGGAATGAACAACGGCTCTGTGGGGAAAATTGGGGGGAGAAAATGGGGAGGGAAAATTGGGGGAAGGAAATTTGGGGCATTTTTTGGGGAGGGAAAATTGGAGAGGGAAAATTGGGGGGATTTTATGGGGGACGGAAAACCGGGGGAATTTTTTTGGGGGGAGGGAAATGAGGGAAGGAATTTGGGGAAGGGAATTTTAGGAGGAATTTTGGGGAGGGGGGAAAATTGGGGAGTAAATATTGGGTGGGGGGGTCCCACGTCACTGCTGATCCTCCCCGAGGAGAAAATTTGGGATTTTGGGGAGGAATTTGGTCCGGAATTTGGGGAGGGGTCCCATCCTGACGGGGACACACAGTGAACGCCCCCAGTCCCCCCCCATTTCCCGAGTGGTTCGCTCCCCACAGAAGCGAACGGAACCGCAGCGGGCGCAACCACAGCGCGGTCCCGGGGGGGAAGGAGCTCCCGTTGTCCCCCCCGTGTCCCCCCCGTGTCCCCGCGTGTCCCCCCCTCCCCCCACGCGTGATGCGGCCCCCCCGAACCCCCCCATGAACGGGACGAGCCCATTCTCTCCGCTAAAGGGGGGGAAACGCAGCGCCCCCCTCCGGCAGCGCGCGGGTGGCGCGGCCCTCGCTGCCCCTCAGGGGAGCCGGGCGAGTCCATTGCGCGGGGCGGGGTGGGGAGGGGGGGGGAAGAACGGAACCATCCCAAGGTCTCACCTGTCATGGACGCCGCAGGCCCGGCCGGTTCCGGCCGCTCATCCCGGGACTCGCGGGTTTTTTTTTTTTTATTTCCTCCCGGTTCCGGAAAGAGGAAAAATAAAAATAAAATTTAATTTAAAAAGCGGCGACGGAAGGAAACGGGAGCGAAAACAGCGCGGGGGGGGGGGCGGGGGGGCCGTGAGGGGGAGACCCCGCGCGCGCGCCGGCCCCGGGGGCGTGGCTATGACGTCATAGAGGGCGACGTTACGCAAGGGGGCGGACGGAAGGGGCGGGGCTTCCCCTCCGGCGTTAATTAAATCTCATTTACATAAATCTGCATAAATTAGCATTTATTAACACTTTTTCCACTCGTTTATTGCCAAAAAAAGCTCCCGCGAGAAGCGGAAAAACCGCGAGAATTCACCCGAAGCGCAGTGAAAATCCTGGCCCTGGAATTTGGGGGGAAAAAATCCCAAATTCGGGGGAAAACACAAAGTGAAGAGAAAAAAAATCCCAAATTCGGGGGAAAACACAAAGTGAAGAAAGAAAAAAATCCCAAATTTGGGGAAAAACCAAAAAGTGCAGGAGAAAAAAAAAATCCCAGATTTGGGGAAAAAGGCAAAAAGTGCAGGGGAAAAAGTCCCAAATTTCTTTTTTTTCCTGATTAAAAACCTCCCCCACCTCGGAATTCCCTGCCCCGAACTAATTTTGGGGAAAAAAAGCAAATTTTGTGGGGTTTCTGGCCAGAAAGAGGAAGGAATTTTGGGGAAATGAGGAATTTTGGGGGTTCTGGGAAGCCCTGGGGGCGCTGGAGGCAAAATCCACAATTTAAGGCAATTTTGGGATGTTTTGAGCACCTGTTGCGGGGTTTGGGAAGGATTTGGGGATTTTTGGGAAAGATTTGGGGTTTTTTGGGAAAAATTTGGGGTTTTTTTGGGAAGTTGCTCCCAAAACTCCCCCCAGGGATCATTTTTGGAGTAAAATTCTTTTGGAGTAAAATTTTTAGGGGGGTAAAAAACCGGGAAAATGGGAATAAAATCCCAGGAAAATGGGAATAAAAACTGAGGAAAAACAGGAATAAAATCCAGGAAAAATGGGATTTAAAATCCACCTCTGGATGGAATTTTATCTGAACCCCCAAATCCCCAAAAAAAGATCTGGGAAAGGGAAAATTGGGGGGGAAAAAAGGAGATTTTGGTGCTGGTTTGGCCTCGGGATCTGCAGCCAGGATCCACCGGGGTTTTCCAACGGGATTCCCACGGGATCCACCCTTTGCCAAGGGATTCCTGGGGGATCCCCCCTTTTCCAGCAGGATTCCCATTTCCCAAGGGATCAACCAGGGATTCCCGCCAGGATCTCCCTTTGATTCCCGAGGGATCCCTCAGGATCAACCCCAGCAGGATCCCTGGGATCCCTCAGTGTCGATCCCAGCAGGATTCTCACTCCGGGGATCCCCATTCCTGCAGGATCCCCACTCCCAGGATCCCCGTTCCTACTGTCAGTCCCAGCAGATCCCGGGTGGATCCAGCAGGATCCCCACGATCCCTGGGGTCTCCATTGCTGCCGTCATTCCCAGCAGATTCCGGCTGATTCCGGAGGGATCCCAGTGGATCCAGCGGGATCCCCACTCCCAGGTTCCCTGGGATCCCCGTTCTCGCTGTCAGTCCCAGCAGATCCCGGGGTGGGATCCCAGTGGATCCAGCAGGATCAGTCCCAGCAGGATCTCCATTCCCAGGATCCCCGTTCTCGCTGTCAGTCCCAGCCGATTCCCACCAATCCTGGGGTTGGATCCCAGGGGCGGATCCCTCAGTCGGATCCCCGTGGGCGGATCCCTCAGTCGGGTTTGCGGCCCAGCCTGCGGAAGACGCTGCGGGGGCCGCAGGAGGAGCTGCTGACCTGGCCGCAGCCCCAGGCGCCCCCCGAGCTGGACACGGCCCCGTCCTGCGCCGCCGTCGCCGCCGTTCCGGAACATTCCCGGCGCTTCTTCAGCACGCCGGCGTAGGGCAGCGCCTCGGGATCCGCCGGATCCCCCGCGCCGCCATCGGCCGCGGCTGGGTCGGGGCCCTCCGGGGCGGCGCCCAGGCGGCTGAACACCCCTGAGGGCTGAGGGAGAGACAAATGGAGATCCCAGCGGATCCTGGGTCCCGCGCCACCACTGGATCCCCTGGATCCTCCCCCCATGGATCCCCAGGATCCCCTGGATCCTTCCCCCATGGATCCCGCCTGCCCTGGATCCTCCTCTCTCTGGATCCTGCACCACCCCTGGATCCCATCCTACTCTGGATCCTGGATCCTGCAGCACCCCTGGATCCCCTGGATCCTCCCCCCCCCATGGATCCCGCCAGCCTTGGATCCCCTGGATCCTCCCCCCATGGATCCCCAAGATCCCCTGGATCCTCCCCCCATGGATCCCGCCTGCCCTGGATCCTCCTCTCTCTGGATCCTGCACCACCCCTGGATCCCATCCTACTCTGGATCCTGGATCCTGCAGCACCCCTGGATCCTTCCCCCCCTGGATCCCACCTCCCCTGGATCCTGATCCCTGGATTTTGGATCCTTTTTCCCCTCGATCTTGTCCCCTCTGGATCCTGGATTGTTTTGCCCCTGAATCTTCTTCTCCTTGGATCTCACCTCCCTTGGATCCTGATGCTCTGGATCCTGGATCCTTCCTTTCCCTGGATCTCTCCCTCCCTGGATCCTTTTCCCCACTGGATCCCCCCCCCCCCAGGATCCCAGCCCCCTCCCCTGCTCTCCCGTATTTCACCATCAGATCCCAGCTGGACCCAGCCCCTCCCCCACACCAGATCCCACCCCCACCCTGGATCCCCCCCACAGATCCCTCAGGATCCCTTGGGATCCCCCCCTCACCTTGGCTCCGGCGGCTGCGGCCGCTTTGGCCTCGGCCCCGAGGCGCTCGAACACCGAGGGCCGGCCCAGACCTGCAGGGTTTGGGGGAAAATTCAGGGATTTGGGGAAAATTGGGGATTCAGGGGGGAAAAATGGGGATTCTGGGGGGGAAAAATGGGGGGGATTTGGGATCCAGAGAGAGAAACTCAGGATCTGGGAGGGGAAACTGGGGGTTTGGGAGGGGAATTTTGGGATCCAGGAGAGATTGAAATTCGAGATCCACCAGGGAACCTTGGATCCACCAAGGAGCGCCAGGATCCAAGAGGAGAAACTCAGGATCCAGGAGGAGAAATTGAGGATCCAGGAGGGGAATTTTTGGGGATCCAGGAGAGGAAAATTTGGGATCCAGGAAGGAAAATTGGGGATCCAGGAAGGAAAATTTGAGATCCACCAGGGAGCCCCAGGATTCAAGAGGGGCACTTTGGGATCCAGGAAGGAAAATTCAGGATCCCGGAAAGGAAGCTGGGGGACCCGGGAGGGGAAATTCAGGATCCAAAGGGGGAAATTTGGGATCCACCGGGGACGCCCCGGGATCCAGGAGGGGAAATCCAGGAGTGCAAACCCTGGGATCCAGGAAGGGAAATCCAGGAGTGCAAACCCCGGGATCCGGGAGGGGAAATCCAGGAGCGCAAACCCCGGGATCCAGGAGGGGAAATCCAGGAGTGCAAACCCCGGGATCCCCCAGGATCCCCCAGGATCCCCCGGGATCGCCGGGATCCGCCGCGCACGCACCTCGTGCCGCCTGCAGGCGCAGGATGTGGCGGCTGCGGGCCGTGGTGCCCTTGGGCAGCCGGATCACGTACTTGCCCTCGGCCTCGGCCGTCACCCGGCGCCGCTTGGGCAGCGCCGACGGCGCCTCGGAGCCGGATCCGCCTGCGGGGAAGGGGGAAAAAAGGGATCCGGGGAGCGGGGATCCACTGGGATGGGTGCGGGGGGATCTGGGGGGATCCTTCCTGACCGGGCTGCGGTGATGCCAGGGCTCTCCAGCCCCCCTGGAGTGATCCCAGCTCCACCCTGATCACCCTGGATTGATCCCAGCCCCCTTGGATTGATCCCAGCTCCACCCTGATCACCCTGGAGTGATCCCAGCTCCACCCTGATCCTTCTGGAGTGATCCCAGCCCCCCTGGAGTGATCCCAGCTCCACCCTGATCACCCTGGATTGATCCCAGCCCTCCTGGATTGATCCCAGCTCCATCCCTGATCCCTTTGGATCAATCCCAGCCCCTCTGGATCGATCCCAGCTCTGCCCTGATCCCTCTGAATCAATCCCAGCCCCTCTGGATCGATCCCAGCTCCATCCCTGATGCCTTTAGATCAATCCCAGCCCCCCTGGATCAATCCCAGCTCCATCCCTGATCCCTTTGGATCAATCCCAGCCCCTCTGGATCCCTCGATCCCCATCTCCCTGCCCTCCCCCAGGCTCTCCAGCCCCACAGTGGATCCCCGAGGGATCCCAGGATATTTTGGGTGGGAACCGCCCCCTTTGGGGTCCTTACCGGCCCCGTTGGGGACGGTGACGGAGATCCCGGTGCCGGGCGGGTTCCGGGGGGCGCGGGGCGGGCCGGGGTCACGGCTCAGGCTCTTGGTGATCATTCTGCCCGCGGCCCCGCACGGATCCCGGCCCTGATCCCGGCCCTGATCCCGCTGCTGATCCCGCTGCTGATCCCGGGGCTGATCCCGGGGCTGGTGATCCGGTGGATCCCGCTGATCCCGCCGGGATCCCCCCACAGCCTCGGGCTGCAGCGACTCCGAGGCCGCCCGGCACATTTCCTGCAGGGGATCCACAACGCCGGGAGGGTTTGGGGGGTTCCCGGGTCCCAGGGGGTCCCAGGAGATCCCAGCAGGTCCCAGGGGATCCCGTACCTGCCTGTGGACCACCTTGGCGTGGCGCAGGATGGCGATGACGTCGCCCACCACGGTGATGCCCAGCTCCTTCATCAGCTCCTTGGTCAGGTCCAGCAGCATGTTCTTGTGGATCCTGCAGGGGGGAGGATGGGATCTGCTGGGATCCGCTGGGATCCGCTGCAGAGATCCCCTCCCTCCTGCCCGGATCCACCGACACGTACCCACATTGCCCCGGGATCCACCCCCATTCCTGGGGGGCTCTCCTCTCCATTTTTGGGGGTTTCTTTCCCCATTTTCAGGGGTCTCTCCCTCCCTCCCTCCCTCCCTCCCCATTCCTGGGGGTCTCTGCCCCCCCATTTTTGGGGGTCTCTCCCAGGGGTCTCTCCCCCATTTCCGGGGGTCTCTCCCAGGTGTCTCTCCCCCATTTTTGGGGTTTCTCCCCCCCCATTCCCAGGGGTCCCCCCCCATTTTCAGGGGTCTCTCTCTCCCCATTTTTGGGATCTCTCTCCCCCCATTTTTGAGATCTCTCTCCCCCATTTTTGGGGGTCTCTCTCTCCCCCATTTCTGGGGGTCTCTCTCCCCCATTTTTGGGATCACTCCCCCCCATTTTTGGGGGTCTTTCTCCCCCATTTTTGGGGGTCTCTCCCCCCCATTTTTGAGATCTCTCTCCCCATTTTTGAGGGTCTCTCCCCTCCATTTTTGGGGGTCTTTCTCCCCATTTTTGGGGGTCTTTCTCCCCCATTTTTGGGATCACTCCCCCCCATTTTTGGAGGTCTCTCTCCCCATTTTTGGGGGTCTCTCTTCCCCACCTGTTGTCCACGAAGGCCACGGCGTAGCCCAGGGCAGGGCCCGGGGGGATCCCGGCGTCCTCAAAGAAACGGAGCCACTCTGAGGTGGCTGCGGAAAAATGAGGGGAAAATACGGGAAAAAAATGAGAAAAAACGGGAAAATGAGGAAAAAAATGGGAAAAATGAGAAAAAATGGGGAAAAAATGGGAAAAATAAAAAAAAGGGGAAAAATGGGGGAAAATGGGAAAAAACAGGAAAAATAGGAGAAAATGGGGAAAGATGAGAAAAAAAAAGAGAAAATGGGGATAAATGAGGGGGGAATAGGGAAGAATTCGGAAAATTGGGGGGAAATGGGGAAAAAATACTTTTGGGCGGAAAAATGCGATTGGGGGATTGGGAAAATGGGATTTGGGCAGGGGAAAAATGTGATTTTAGGGGAGAAGATGGGATTTGGGGGCAAAAAAAGGGATTTAGGGGGGAAAAAGGGAATTTGGGGTGAAAAATTTGGATTGGGGGAGGGAGGGGAAATGGGATTGGGGGGGAGGGGAATGGGACCAGGAGGGGGAGGGGCAGCCCAGGGTGACTCCAGGGTCATTCCAGGCGTTCCCAGCTGTCCCTGGATTAACAGGAATGGGGGGGGACAGGGGAGGGGTTTGGGAAGGGATTTTGGGGATTTTGGGGGCCCAGCCCTCGCCAGGAGATTTTGAAAGGGATTTTTGGGGGGTTTTTTAAGGAATTTGGGGGATTTTGGGGTTGTTTGACAGAGAATTTTGGATTTATTTTTTTTTAATTATGGGGTGTTTTACAGAAAATTTTAGAATTTTTGGGGTGGTTGTGGTGAATTTTGGGGTCTTTAGCGGGGGTGGGGGGGATTTTGGGATGTTTTACAGGGAACTTTGGGGGTGTTTGGGGGAATTTTTGGGGTTTTTTGGGTCCATCCCTCACCCATGGTGCCGAGCTGGATTTGGCAGCGCCGGATCAGGCAGGAGCGATCTGGGGGGGGTGAGGGGAGAGGTCAGAGGGGGTTTTTGAGGGGCTGCCCCACATCCCCCCCACCCAGAGACCCCCAAAAACCTCACCTGACCCCTCAGATCCCCCCAAACCCCTCCAGACCCTTCCTCAATGTCCCTTTCCCCTCAGACCCCCCCCTTTTCCCTCCTCCTGATCCCCCCGAACGCCCCCAGACCCCCCAAACCCCTCAGACCCCTCCCCATTTTCCCTTTCCCCTCAGACCCCCCCTGACCCCTCAGACCCCCCGACCCCTCCTCAACTTCCCTTTCCCCTCACACCCCCCTCCCCATTTTCCCTCAGATCCCTCCTCAATCTCCCTTTCCCCTCAGACTCCTCCTTATTTTCTCTTTCCCCTCACGCTCCGCCCTCACCCCTCGGACCCCCTCAGACCCTTCCTCAATCTCCTTTTCCCCTCAGACCCCTCCCCATTTTCCCCCAGACCCCCCCAGCCCCCCCCATTCCCCCCTCACCTCCCCTCGCCCCATCCCGGGGCCCCTCACGGGACGCGCCGGAAGTGACGTCAGGCGCCGCCGGAGGGGGCGGGGCCGGGCAGAGGAGGGCGCCCCCCAGCGGACGGAGCGTGAGGGCGGCGCTGGACGGTACCAAGGGGAGACAGAGGGGGGGACGGGGGGGAGCGATCGCGAAACGCCCCAAAAACTGCCCAGAAACCGCCCCGAAACTGCCGCGAAACGCCCCAAAAACTGTCCCGAAATCTGCCCTAAACCGCCCCAGAAACTGTCCCGAAACTGTCCCAGAATCGCCCTAAAACTGCCTCATAGCCGCCCCAAAACTGCCACGAAACCGCTCCAAAATCTGCCCCACAAATTGCCCCCAAACTGCCCCAAAACCGCCCCAAAAGCTGTCCTGAAACTGTCCGAAAATCCGCTCCAAAACTGCCCCAAAACAGCCCGAAAACTGCCACAAAACTGCCACGAACCCGCCCCAAAAACTCTCCCGAAACTCTCCCAAAACTGCCCCAAAAATGCCTCAAAACCTGCCCTAAACCCAGCCTGAACCCAGCCCTAAATGTGTCTCTAAATTGGCCCTAAATGTGTCCTGAATGTGTCCCCAAATGGACCCTAAATGTGTCCCCAAATTGGTCCCAAATATGTCCCAAAATGGACCCAAATGTGTCCCCAGAACAGCCCTAAACGTGATTCTAAACTGCTCCTAAATTTGTCCCAAAGAGGCTCCAAACCCAGACCCTAACTGGCCCTAAATGTGTCCCCAAACTGACCCTAAATGTGACCCCAAACAGCCCTAAAATGGCCCTAAATGTGTCCCCAAATGAGCCCTAAATGTGCCCCCAAACTGACCCTAAATTTGTCCCCAAACAGCCCTAAAACGGCCCCAAATGCACCCAAAACTGACCCCAAAAGTGGCCCCAAACATCCCTGAACCCGTCCTGGCCCTGCCCCAAATTTGGGGACCCCACCCTGCCCCGAGGGGGCCCAGCCCCAATTTGGGGTGGGGGAGGTCCCTTCCCGTCCCCTCCCAGCGTTTGGATCCCGGGAATTCTTTGGGGTCTCCTCTGAACCCCAGGGGGATTTTTGGGGTCCCTCCCCTGCCCCTGCACCCCAGAAACCCCAAATTCCCCCAGGGAGTAAATCCGGATTTTCCTGTTCCAGCCTCGTGTCGGGATGGGGCTGAACGGAGCCTACAAGCAGGTAGGGCCGGGGACACCCCAAAAATCTGAATTTGGGACTCCTGGGACGCCCCAAAACCCAAACTGGGAGGATTCCCTGCCCCAAAATCCAAATCTGGGGGTGCCAAACCTCTAAATTTGGGATCACAGAGCCCCCAACTCCCCAAATTTTGGGGCTCCCCCAACCCCAAACTCCCACAGGAACCCCTGGGAATGGGGGTGGGGGGATCCTGGGAATTTTGGGGGATCCTGGGAATTTCAGGGTGTGCTTCAACCCCCTCCCCCCTAAATTTGGGGTCTCCACCCCCCAAATTTGGGGTCGTTCCCCCCCAGCTGGAGCCTCCGGAGCCTCGTGAGACGCCGCCCCCCAAGGTACCCCCTGCCCAAGCCCTTCCCTGCATCGTGGATGGGACAAAACCCCCAAAATTAACCAAAAACCCCCCAATTTCGGGGTCTGTCCCCCCCAAACCCCAGCGCCCCCACGGCGCCGTGCTCTTCGTCCTCCTCTCCATCCTCTTCCTCCTCACCTTCCTCCTCCTCCTCCTCCACCTGCGCGCCCATGGCGGTGACGCCGACGTCACCTGTGGGGACACCTGCAGGTAAGGCTGGGTGTGGGGGTGAGGGGACCCCAAAAACCCCCCGGGACACCCCAAAAAACTCCCCAGGACCCCACAAAAACCCCACAGGACCCCTCAAAACCCCCCTGGACCCCACAAAACTCCCCTGGAGCCCCCAAAACTCCCCCAGGACCCCACAGAAAACTTCCCAGGACCCCTCAAATCCCCCCCCAGGACCCCTCAAAACCCTCTAGGACTGCCCAAAAAAAACCCCAGAATCCCCCCAAAACCCCCCAGGACACCCCAAAAACTCCCCAGGACTGCCCAAAAACCCCCCAGGACCCCTCGAAAAATCCCAGGACCCCCCAAAACCCCCCATGACCCCTCAAAACCCTCTAGGACGGCCCAAAAAAACCCCTCAGAATCCCCCCAAAACTCCCCCAGGACCCCCCAAAAAAAGCCCCAAAACCCCCCAGGACCCCCCAAACCCCCCCAGGACACCCCAAAACCGCCCCAGGACCCCCCAAACCCCCCCAACTTGGGCAGGATCGTGCTGGTGGAGAGCATCCCCGAGGGCCTGGCCGTGGGCACCGTGCCCGGCCCCTCCACCTTCGAGGCCTGGCAGGAGCTGCTGGCCAGGGCCACCCGCAGCGTGGACATCGCCTCCTTCTACTGGACACTGACCAACGCCGACACACGGACGCACGAGCCCAGCGCGGAGCAGGTCTGCTGCCCGTTCTGACCCCCCTATGCATTTCTTGCCCTTTTTTCCTGGTTTTTCCCCCATTTTTTCCCCTATTTTTTGCCCCTGTTTTACCCATTTTTACACTTTTTTTGCCTCTTTTTTACCCATTTTTTTCCCTTTTTATGTCCATTTTTGCCCCTTTTTTGCCTACTTTTTCCCATGTTTTTGTCCGTTTTTGCTCCTTTTTTTGCGTGGTTTTCCCTGTTTTTTACCTGGCTTTTGCCTGATTTTTGCCCATTATTCCCCAATTTTGTCCATTTTTTCCCATTTTATTTTTGCTCCTTTTTGCCCATTTCCCCCCAGTTTTGTCCATTTTTTCGCCTGCTTTTTTGCCCATTTTTACCCATTTTTCCCTTGTTTTTTTCCTCCCATTTCCCCCCATTTTCCCCCATTTCTCCCTGTTTTTTTCCCCATTTCCCCCCCATTTCCCCATTTTCCCCAATTTCCCCTGATTTGTCCCCATTTCCCCTGCCCTCTCAGGGTGAGCGGCTCCTGGCGGCGCTGCAGCAGCTGCTGACCCGCGATTTCCCCATTTTCCCCCATTTCCCCATTTCCCCATTTTTTCCCCCCATTTTCCCCCATTTCCCCATTCCCCATTTTTCCCAATTTCCCCTGATCTGTCCCCATTTGCCCTCAGGGTGAGCAGCTCCTGGCGGCGCTGCAGCAGCTGCCGGCCCGTGGCGTGGCCGTGCGCGTCGCGGTCAGCGCGCCCTCGCCCTCCGCGCCCCTGGACGATCTCCGAGCCCTGGAGCGCAGCGGTGAGCGGGGACGGGGCCGCCCCCAATTTGGGGGTCCCGGTGGGCTCCAGGGGGGGTCCAGGTTCGGGTGGGTGACGGCGGTGCCGGCGCCGCAGGTGCGGCCGTGCGCGCCGTGGACCTGCCGCGCCTGACGGGCGGCGTGCTGCACACCAAGTTCTGGCTGGTGGACGGCGCCCACCTCTACATCGGCAGCGCCAACATGGACTGGAGGGCCCTGACGCAGGTGGGTTGTGACAGGGGCGGGGACAAACCCGGTGGGATTGGTGCCGAACCCGATGGATGGTGCCAAACCCAGCGTGGATGGTGCCAAACCCAACGTGGATGGTGCCAAACCCAGCATGGATGGTGCCAAACCCAATGGGGTCAGTTTGGAACCCAATGGATGGTGCCAAACCCAATGTGGATGGTGCCAAACCCAATGGATGGTGCCAAACCCAGTGGGGTCAGTTTGGAACCCAATGGATGGTGCCAAACCCAACGTGGATGGTGCCAAACCCAACGGGGTCAGTTTGGAATCCAGTGGATGGTGCCGAACCCAATGGGGTCAGTTTGGAACCCAATGGATGGTGCCAAACCCTGTGGGATTGGTGTGGAACCCAATGGGGTTGACCCCAAACCCAATGTGGATGGTGCCAAACTCGGCAGGATTGACCCTAAACCCAATAGGGTTGACCCCAAACCCAATGGATGGTGCCAAACCCAATGGGGTTGGTGTGGTACCCAATGGGGTTGACCCCAAACCCAATGAGCTTGACCAAAACTCAATGGATGGTGCCAAACCCAACACAGATGACCCCAAACCCAATGAGCTTGACCCAAACCCAACATGGACGGTGCCAAACCCAATGGATGGTGCCAAACCCAACACAGATGACCCCAATCCCAATGACTTGACCCAAACCCAACATGGATGACCCCAAACCCAATGAGCTTGACCCAAACCCAACATGGACGGTGCCAAACCCAACACAGATGATCCCAAACCCAACGAGCTTGACCCAAACCCAACACGGATGGTTCCAAACCCACCACTTGGCGCTCAACCCAACGGGATGGGCACCCCCACCCCCATCACCGGGGCCATCCCAACCCCGTCCATCGGGGAGGGACAACGACGCCGTCCCACGCGCCGCAGGTGAAGGAGCTCGGAGCTGCCATCTACAACTGCAGCTGCTTGGCCAAAGATTTGGGCAAAATCTTCGAGGCCTACTGGTCACTGGGCGTCCCCGACGCGTCCATCCCGGCGCCGTGGCCAGACAGCTTCTCCACCTCCATCAACCTGGAGACCCCGCTGGAGATGACGCTCAACGGCACCGAGGCCGCCGTCTTCTTCTCGGTAGGTGCTGCACCGGCGCTGGGGTCACCACAATGGGGTCACCACGATGGGGTCACCACAATGGGGTCACCACGATGGGGGTCACCACGATGGGGTCACCACGATGGGGGTCACCACGATGGGGGTCACCATACCAGGGGTCACCACACCAGGGTCACCACGATGGGGGTCACCACACTGGGGTCAAACCCATCGTGGGTCACCACACCGGGGGTCACAATGCTGGGGTCACCACACCGGGGTCACCACACCAGGGTCACCATACTGGGGTCACCACAGCATGGGTCAAACCCTCCATGGGTCACCACACTGGGGTCACCACACTGGGGTCAAACCCACCCTGATGTCACCACACTGGGGGTCACCACACCATGGGTCAAACCCACCATGGGTCACCACACTGGGGGTCACCATACTGGGGGTCACTATGCTGGGTGTCACCATGCCGGGGTCAAACCACCCTGATGTCACCACACCGGGGGTCACCACACCGGGGGTCACCA